AACTGCTGAGAAGTGCCACATGTTAAAAGGAAATCAAGCTGTTTTCAGTATCTAGACATTTGTTTCTCTATTTTCAAACCTGTGTTTATGGTTCTATGCTATATTTTCTCTTTTTTTTTTTTGGTAGCTAGTTGGTACGGGGATCTGGATCCGTGACCATGGCGTTATTAGGCTGCACTATAACCAACTGAGCTAAACTGGCCAGCCCTATATTTTCCTTGTTTCTTTCTGTTTTGTTTTGTTTGTTTTTCCTGGGAATAAGGCTCTCTAAAAATAATAATCTGATTCACAAAGCCATTGCCATATTGAAAACCTCAGAACAAAGTTTGGTGCCATTTCATCCAGCACCATTAGGATCAAATTTAGCTGAGACCTTTCTTTTGGAATAGGAATCGGTGAAGATAAATATGAATAAGCAACAACATCAAGGACAGTGCCAGCTACATCTCGCAGGACCCCTTGCTGCCTCCTGGAGGCCCACGGAGCTGGCCTCAGCCCTGCAGCCAGGTCGCCTGACACTCACCAGACTCCAATAGTCACATCTTCCTCTGGCTGGAGGTAGTAATTACAGGTGTGATTCAAACCTTGATCCTGCGGTTTTTTCAAGTCAATGAAATAGGGAACCCTCACTGTAGGAGACAAAGAGATGGAAATCAGGTTTAGTGAGGGTAGATGGACACACACACACTTGCACACATATACACACTAATATGCATACCCAACACATGCACACAATGCACATGCACACACAACGACAAACATACATACAATGCACATTCACATCCGTGCACATATGTGTGCGCACACTTATAATATGCACGCACACACACAACAGAGGTGGAGCTCTCAAAAAGCACCAAGTACTTTTCCTATGCAATCCTGCCAGAATACTCTGAGCAAGTCTACAGAGGCAGTGAGGGCAGGGTCCAAGTAGAGACTGGAACAGGTAAGATTATTCAGGTACAAGGAGATGCAGATGAGGGAGGCTGCAGAAGAACTCAGGTAAGCCACGGCTGAAGGCTGGAGCCCAGGTGTGTGGGAGGGACAGCAGGAAAAGGGACAGTGTACAAAATACTCTGGGGTTGGAGCTGCAGGACCGAAGGACTGCCTGAATGTGGGAGGTAAACAAAGCAAAGGGGATTTCTGAGTTTCTAGTCCTGTCACTTAGCGCAGGAAGGACAGCAGAAAAGGAGGTGGAGGGCAGCAAATAGATGAACTCACAGACCCCTCCCAGAGCTGAGTGATGTCAGGAACAACACAGAAGGAGTCCCACCTGAATGGGTCATCTGCCAGCAGGGCAGCAGCCGAGTCAACTGGTGCCCTAAACTATGGAAAACCATGGGGCCACTGGACCCGGAAGAACACCCAAGACATGCAGGTGATGAGAGGAGCAAGGACTGCTGTTAGATCCCCGTGGGTGCTGGGCCCCCTTGTTATTGTAGAAACAAGCAAACACCGACAGCAACACCACCATCCAGGTGTGGCTCAGAAAAGATATAGAAAGATACATGCCAGGCTATTAATGTAGTTCAGTGTGTGTGTACTATTATTGCTTGTGGTAAACACAACATTTGAAGATAAATTTAACTGAAAAATGAAAAACTTAAAACCCCACAAACGCTGAGGTGAGATTTACTCACTTTATGAAATGGCAACTCCCAAAGGGGCAGAAACAAAGACGAGTTGGTCCTGACGTTCAGCTGATCCCACCCACTAGGAGGAAGACACAATGGTCCACAGCTGTCTTTGATGGAGAGAGTTTTCATGAACAACCTCCTCCGCCCATGCGGCACACTGCACGTTAAGCTCTCACCTCCTCAAGTGTCATGAGGGCTTGAGGAACGTTTGCTGAGTAAATGAACCATCTGATGCACAAGGACATGGAGACATACATGCTCTTTTCCCAGAAACCCCCGAGCGTCTGTCCCAGACCATGTGGGGAGACAAATCCTCCCACCAGGACTGCTGTTCGTACTTCCAGCTTTTTAATCCATTTCTTCCCCAAGAAGCAGGCTAAATTTGTAAAACATTAGTATTAAGTTCTCTCAAAAGAAAAATGGCAGCAAAGGAGGTGGTGCCACATCCCCTGTGTGCGTGGCCAAGCTGGTGCCGGGTCCTGGGAATGTTCCTTGTAGAGGCTCCTGTCACCCAGACAGTGTCCCAAGGAGGCTGCTACCCTTTTACAGTTCTAGTTAGGTCTCAGCCTTATACACACTAGAACTGGGATTTGATCGTGGGCAGCCCGACTCCACAGCCCTCTCAGCTAAGTGAGTAAGAAGTCAGAGAAATAAACAGGCTTCAATCCTGAAGGGCCATGAAAGTCCTTGTTATGGGCTGAGTTGTGTCCCCCCAAAAAGATATGTTTAAGTCCTCACCTCCAGTACCTAAGAATGTGATCTAACTTGGAAACAGGGTCTTTACAGAGGTAACTGACTTAAGTGAGGTCATTAGGGTAGGTCCTAATCCAACATGACTGGTGTACTTATAAAAAACAGAAATTTGGAAACAGAGAAAGACACACACAGAGGGAAGGGCATGTGAAAAGGACCACGTAAAGATGGAGGCAGGAACTGTAGTATAGCATCGACAAGCCAGGGAATGCAAGGATTGCTGAGAAAGGCAAGGAAGGATGTTCCCCCAGAGTCTCAGAGGGAGAGCAGCCCTGCCCATACCTTGATCTTGGACTTCACAGTGAATAAACTTCTGTCTTAACCTACCCAGTTTGTGGATTTCTAAGGGCAACCCTAGGAAATAAATGCAGCCATACTAAGGAGTTCAGATTGTATCATGGCAACAAGACCTGGAGGAGACTCCTGGACAGAGAGAAGGCCTGAAAAGGATGTCCATTTCATGTGCTATTTCAGACTATAGGAGTCTCCCCCTGGCGTCTCCATTCTGTGACTTTACTCCACACTTTTGGAACCTGAAAGCTGCACTGTGATGTGCAAGTTCACCCATCTGACAACCGTGAGGTGAGATGCCTTCCTTAATAAAATTCTGAAAATCCAAACCCGGTGCTCACTGTTAACCCCACACCCAGTCCCATCTCTGAAGCTAGGATTGCCCCCACCCCCTGCCTCACCCATCTGACAACCGTGAGGTGAGATGCCTTCCTTAATAAAATTCTGAAAATCCAAACCTGGTGCTCACTGTCAACCCCACACCCAGTCCCATCTCTGAAGCTAGGATTGCCCCCACCCCCTGCTGAATGGAAAGTGGGTGCTGTCAAGGGCTGAGGGCACTTGGCTTCTGCTGGCTCATCTCCAGGTCTCACTCAGTTCTGTGTCTGGAGAAGGAGGCCAAGCTATTAAAACACAAACTACCCCGTGGTTTTGAGAGCATTCCCTAGCCACTGCAGAGTGTTTTACAAGGATTAGCAACTGCTCCAGAGAGCTTCCAAGCCCAAGAAATCTCAGAACCAAGAAGCCAATTCTACTCTAGGACAGCCTCATTCTCAGCTGTTCTTCCAGTTCACTTTCACTCCTTCTCTAGAAACAATCATGCAAAAGGAGTCTCTGAAGCCCAGCAGGTACTGCCCTGAGTGCCTCCCCTTCTTCAGCAGCCCCTCTCTGACTAGGTGAGGACTACATGACATGAGGCCTGGTCAGTCCCAGGGTCATACAGCCCCAGACAACAGTGGCCGTAGGAAACACCTGGCCAGTATTGGTCTAAATGAACAGAAATGACACAAAGCAAAGGAACAAGGACAAAGGGTACCTGAGACGGGGCTGGCCTGAGCAGGGTTGCAGGACTTGCCTGGGCTGGAGGCTCACTCCTGCTGGCCAGTACTGGGTAAGTGCCAAGACCCTCTGACATCCCATGTGGTCATATCCCCCTTGGTCATCGACCCCCTTGACTCTGGGGTGCTGGCCCTTGCTTCCTCCATAGGGCTGGAGCAGGGGCAGAGCGCAGCCCATAGGAGTAGGGACCTGGACAGTGTGCTCCTGACCACTCCACCAGTGTGGTCCAGCTCCCTCACTGCTATCTATCACAGGCTCACCTGTAACAGGGCTCCACTGTGCAGCCCAGGAACCTCACACTGGCCCCTGCCCCCGTAGGCAAGGAAGGCCCATTAGCTGCTGGGACCGGGTCCTCTGGCTTCTCCTCCTTCCTAGGTTTTCTTTTTTTCTTTCTTTTTTTTTTTTTTTTTTTCTTTTTCGTGACTGGAAAGGGGATCGCAACCCTTGGTGTGGTGTCACCCACACTGCGCTCAGCCAGTGAGTGCACCGGCCATTCCCATATAGGATCCGAACCCGCGGCAGGAGCGTTGCTGTGCTCCCAGCGCCGGACTCTCCCGAGTGCGCCACGGGCTCAGCCCGTTCCTAGGTTTTCATTATCCTTTGTCTGGCCATGTCATCACACATGGGCCACCACAAACATCAATGGCATGATTTATGAAGGGTCCGAGAAATATGGGCACTCAGTAAAGAATAAGTGAATAAACATGCAGATGAATGTAAAAGAACCTACTCTGTCTTACTATTTTTAGCTAAACTGGAAAATATGTCATGGGGGAATGAGGAAACTGCTGAGCTGTAACAGATATTTCTGACTGCCTGAGGATGTGTACCATCAGGCTACATCTCATTCCAGTCACCTTAAGCAGGGGAACAGCCCTGACAGGGGCCATCCACTGGCTGTAAGAGGTGTGGTGCCAACAAGGGAAGGGCTGGCTGGGTCACTTAGGTTTTACCAAATTCCAATTACTTGATGTGGGCTAAAAATGATAAGGAAAAAAATGCTATCAGGGACTAACAGGGACTGCTCAGGGGAAGGAAAAAGAGGAGGCTGGCCTTTTGCTTTAAAAACAAATACATGAGTAAATATCTAACCTACTTCCAAAACAAGCCTGAAGTAACATGTGGAGAAGGCCGGCTCCCCCAGCCCCTGGACCCAGACATCCCTCTCACCAGATGATGCCTTCCCGACAGGTGGGAAGATGCCCCCTACTTCAAGACCATAAATGCTGGCTCTCACCCAACATTCTTAGGGTAGAATCAGAACTGTGAATGCAGGAATTGAAAAGCATACATATTCATGTTTATGTGGACAGACACACACAAAAAAGACCAGAAGGAAATAAAGTGCAACATGAACAAAGATTTTCTCAGAGTGACTTTCACTTTCTTACTTATGCTATTCAGTTGTTCAGCTAATCTCTTGTTTGTTTTTAGAATGATCATGTATCTTTTGCTTATGAAAATGTATTTAAAGTAGAACAATTCCTTAAGTCATAGGACCATGCTTCTTCCAAAGCTAATCTATCTGATTTATATATTTGGTTTCAGATAGATTTGCTGTGAACTGAAGAAGATTTTAACACAAATGGATTACACTTTCTTTAATGTCAAAATGGACACCCACAGATATTTCACATCTGCTGGAGCTAAGAACAGAGGCGTCTCCCCAACACACAGGCCCTCCAGCAGTATGAGACAAAACTCCTACCCCACTTCCTCTGCAGAGGACACAGATACAGACATTTAAACTTTGAAAACACATTATGACTGGAAAACCAACAAGCCCCAAGCCACTTTTCAGAGAATGCTCCTTCCTGCCAAAGGGGAGGACAGAGATCTATGCTTGGTGAGGGCCTCACGTGCTGCCACAACAAAACACGGCTTCCTGGGGAGGGTTGCTCATCACTAGAAGGGCAGTCCTCAGGGAGAGGATGTCTGGAGTGTAGTGTCGGGGACAGGCAGGTGCCCAGGTGGGTAAGGCTGTGAGGAATGTCCAGTTGCTGCTCCTAGGAATGACCAGTTGCCAGGCCTTTGGGCAACTCTTCAAAACAGGCCAGAAACACAGATTTTTATCATATTGACAATTAAAAACCTCCCTTAAAAACACTTGCTGTAGGTTGTCAAACTCTTCCCATGTAGCAGACATATGGAAAGAAAGCATGAAGAACAGACCTGTCCCTAAGAGGCTCAGGACAGCCTCACTGCCCAAGCCCAGCCCTCCTCTTCTGTGCCAAGGGGCTGGACAAGAAGAACCCAAAGTTCTGCTCCCGGGAAGAATTTGCCATTTCCTTAGGAAACCAGCACAGCAAAATCTGTGGGCTGTGTCTACAGTAGCCCATGCAATCAATCTGAAGAATATCAATTCAATTCAAACATTTGCTGGGACCCACAGTGTGCCAGCCCCCAGGGAGCAATGCATCCCACATACCTCTGCCTTCAAGCAGGAGCTCATGTCCCCAACAGCAAAGGCACCTGCCCAAGGTAGCCCAGAGGCTGGCAAAGTTGGAAAAGCTGTGCAGGGTTCATTCTAAGCTCTGCCACTGCTTAAACCTGCATCCCTTGAAGCTTTGTTTATCACATAAACCAAAACTCTTTTCTGTGCTATACTGTGTACAGTTAAGGAACTTTAAAGTCAGAAAAACAAAACTCCCTTGATTTTACTATATTCTTAGTTTCTTTTTAAGTTTGTGCTTCTCAGAAGTGGCAAAACTTAAGAGATGATAAATTCCTAGAATTTCAGCTACTTTTCCACTAGGAAAATGAAATGCCTCAAATGCTAAATGCATTTTATGGTTATTTTAAGACACCCAAATAAAAAACTTATTTCAAATGTATAAAGTATTAAATATTTACCTTACTAATTCTGTCCCTCCTACCACTAGAAAGAACAGAAATTCCTTTTTAGCCAGTAACTTCCAAATTTCTGTGATTAAGCCTGTTATGGACTTAGCACCCCAAACTTGAAAACCCAGACACCTGCAGAGCCTAGAGCACTTGGGTTACTACAGACAGCAGTCTTGATCCCTGAGATGCACCTGCTCCCACTCCACCCATCCCAGGACACAGTCCACATTGATCAGGACCTCTCCCTCCTGCATGTCCTCTCCCTGCTGCCCTCCCTCATCTCTGCCAGTTCACCTGCTGCCTGCACAACATCAAGCCCAGTTTTCCAAGCCTTAAGGTCCCAGACACATAGGGTCAAACCCGCTCTCTGCAAACTAATCCAGCCAAAGGTCACACGCAGAGCCTGCCTCTTTCTCTTGTAATGCCAGCCACATCTGTCTTTAAGGCTGTCACTCACAAGCACCTGTGTGTGAGCTCCATGTTATCCTCAAATCTCAAACACAGCGGGACCCAAGCCCTTCCCTCCTAGCCTCATCTTGTAGGTGTAAAATGATGTTCTTAAAAGGATTATTCCCAGCAATCACCTACCTGGGAGCCCCCTGCCTTCTATTTCATAAGCTTGGTACTTCTGCCCCTTTCTCCTCCCACTTCCCCCAAAGTAAATATATAGCATGAAAAAACAAAAACAAAAGCAAAAATAAAAAATAACTTAAGGAGACTACAATATCTATTAGGCCAGCACAAAACTCCATAAAAATCAAAGTTTAACAGGTATTTTTAAGGGAAAAAAAAACAAACTTGAATTTTTTAAAAAGAAAGAAGGTCTAATTATTTTTTAAAGAAAAGTACTATATTTTTTAGTGGTCATCTTTCCAAGGAAGGTTAACCTCCTAGACTGCACAACTGACAGAGCATCTCCAGCATGACAGCTTTGGGTGACTTTCCACATTGTCAACATTTTTCTTCACTTTAGCTAAAGGAAGACCCCCCTCCCCATCCCTCATAGAGCAATACCATGTTTAAAAACATCCCTTAACTCGAAAGGGGCACAGGTGACTTTCTACAAAATAGATATATTCTATTTTTTTTATCTGGGTGGTGGATCAATTTATCTTTCTAAACTGTATACTTCAGATTTGTAAATTTTACTACATGTAAATTAAATCTCAATTTTAAAAAAGACACTCACTAAAATCAGACATCATCATAAAAATGAACTCTTACTAAAGGAAAAATTGATACACAGCACTTACCAAAATTCAAGAAAATCAATTTGGCCTGTATTCCAGGACATAGTTTGACGATAAATGGAATAACAATGTACAACCCCAAAACACAGAGAAGTATCTTCCTCAGTCGGAACCACAGGCCCTTTCGCCTGCAAGAGAAAAGCAATTAATAGGTCAAAAGGCAGTAGATACAATTTTGCTGTAGTTTATTAACAGCATTATCAAAATCACTAAACAAGAGCCACACATATACTTTTCCACAGGGATATTGCCAGTAATAAAAGTAGCCACCCATCTGTTCTTGTTAAAATGATTATTTTAAATATTCTTTTTTTTGGCAACTGGCCAGGACTTGGATATGAACTCTTGACCTTGGTATTATAAGATATTCTTTTAATTTTTAGAACTCTACTGGGGGAAAATTTTTTTTTCTTGAAAACCAAAAAACAATCCTGATTTCTTATGTTCATCCTTGAGTAAGAACCTAGCAGAGAAAGCAGATCCTCAGAAACTGTCCCACCTGACATCAGACCCAGCTGCAATTTCAATTCAGAAGAGAGTGGCCTCCTCTGGGCCTTGTGGTCATCCTTCTGCCAGCCAGCTGCCGGCAGGAGTGGGTTACTCATCAGCTCCTCCTAGGAAGAACATACACCAAGGACATCAACAGAACCTACCCAACCAGGTCCTGGAAAAAAGTAGCAGGCTGAGAACAAGATGGTGGCTGTCCCTGCGTGTCCCTGCATTTCCACCGGGCCCTTTGGGCACCACACAATGGAGGCCCCTTCTCCAGGCCCTTCAGGCCAGGTTGTCACCCCAGGGACTCAAGACCCTCTTCTAATCCCTCACCAGCTACAAGAGTTCCTTGTCCTGTTCCCAACCCCCTTTGAAAAATATCTAACCCTGTGATTCTCAAACTTCTTGGTCTCAGGATCTCTCTATACTAAGAAATTGAGGACCCTAAAGAGATTCAATTTATATGATTTATATTTATTAATATCTGTCATATGAGAAGTTAAAACTAAGACTCTTTAAATGTCTATTAATTCATCTAATGATAATAATAAACAACCCATTACATGTTAATAACACTTATTATGAAAAATAATTATATTTTCCAACACAAAAATTTGAGTGAGAAGAGTGGCATTAACATTTTTACAAATTTCTATAAGCCGGACAGCAATGGAAGACAGATGGATTCTCATATCTGCTTCGGCATTCAATCTGTTGTGATACCACATGCCATGTAGCATCTGGAAAGCTTTACTATAAACTCATGAGAGAATGGCAGTGAAAAACACAAATTACATCTTAGTGTTATTATGAAAATTGTTCTGAGCTTACAGACCCTCTGAGAGGATCATGGGGACCTCCAAGAGACCCCAGAGCACATTTGGAAACTGCTGGTCTGACCTACCACACCAAGTCTAAACCTTAACAGGCCAATTACTGTCGGCCCTCTGTATCCGCAGGTTCCGCATCTGTGGATTCAACCCATTGTGGATAGAAAATATTTGAAAAATAAATTAAAAATACAGAAATTAAAAAAATACAAGGAGCAAGATGCCTGACTAGAGAGGCCTGGCACTTGTGCCCCCAACAAAAAGAGACCAAAACAACAAATAAATAACTGTACTTTGGTATGACCGAGGAAGTGCACTGCCAGCACCAGGGGAGTGACAAAATCCTTGTGGAGCACGGAAGTCCAGAACAGCATCACAGAGAGCAGAGCAAGGCACCCTGCCTCTGCCTCACTGTCTCCCTGTAGGGACTAGCTCAGAGTCATGCAGAGAGAAGGTAAGCTGGAAAAATCCCAGCTGTTTCCACTGTCACCATAAATGCCAGCAATCCCTGCCACAGGAGAGATCCCCAGTCCTCATAGACCCCAATCCCAGTTTGGAGAGTAGCTGGGAGTTTGTGTAGCTGCATAGCCTCACAGCAGAAGCCCCAGTAGAGGAACTACTGCTCCCAACCTAAGCGGTTATGGTACAGTGCCATCTTGAAACAGAACCCATGGCTAGAGTGCATCCTACTAGGGGCCGCAAAAGCTGACCATCTCCATTCTGAGGCCCCACCTTCATTCTATCACATTCACACAGGCACCTGCAGTACCACAACCCCAGCTGCCTAAAGCCTAGCCCAGACAGATTTATTGAGACCCCAGTGTCTGAACCCATGTGGTCTCTGCCCACCCCAGGCAAATAGGCAGACCTGCTCAGTGGGAAAGCTGCCACTAAGTGGCAGCCCACCACATCTACATGCTCCACCCTGCACAACCCATGGCCCACTGAGCCCACAGGTGCCTGCACTGACCTGACAGTCAATCCAGGGGTAGCATTGCCTCCCCTGCGGCCCTCCACAGAGTGGCCAGGCCCTGGTGCACCAGTGTATACCTGCTCCCTGACCAATAGTGGATTGGGCAGCAGCTTGCCTTCCCACAGCCAGCTTTTACAGAGTTACTAGGCCCTGCTGTGTCCTTGCAGGCTAGCTCCAAGCTCAACCTCTGATCCCGTGGCCCTCCACAGAGCTGCTGGGCACCGATACAACAGTGGACACTAACTCCTTGACAGAGGGTGGATTAGGCAAAAGCTTTGTCTTCTGGTAGCAGGCTTTTACAGAGCTTCTGGGTCTCACTGCATCCTTGCAAGATGGCTCCAGGTTCAACAGCCGAGCCAGTGTCCCTCCACAGTGATGCCCTGCTGTACCAGTGCATGCCTATTCCTTGCTCAACAGAGAACTGGGCAATGGCTTTGCCTCCCCACGATGGGCCTCTGTGGAGCTTCTGGGACCTGATGCTCCTTGTGGGCTTGCTCCAGGCTTGGTAGCAGATCCGGCGGCCCTCTGTAGAGCTGCCAGGCCTTACTACACTGATGTATGCCTGTTTCCTGCAGGACAGTGGATAGGGCAGCAGCTCTACTTCCACCCAGCAATCCTCCATAGAGCAACTGGGCCTGGCTGCACCCTTGCAAATCTGCCCCGGGCTCAACAGCTGATCCAGTGGCTCTCCACAGAACTTCCAGGCCCTGCTGCACCTGTGTACACTTGCTCCCTGCTTAACAGTGGATTGGGTGGTGGCTCCACATCCTCAGGCAGGTCTCTACAGAGCCACCTGGCCCTATTGCACTCACACATGCCAACTTCTGGCCAAGAAGTGGCATCTACTCAAATGACAGGCCTTCACAGAACTGCTTGACGCCCCTACCCCATACCCAGGCTCACCTATTTCCAGCCCAAAAGCTGGTCAGGCAGTACACCACCCTCCAGGAGAGACAGCCTCAGAGCTATATACCTATGTCTGATCTGAGAGCTGGTTAGGCAGCAACTGTACGTCTCAGAGAGGCCAACAAACAGACAGTTGGCCCTCTGCAGCCACAGATGCCTGACCTAACAAAAAGCCCGGATTAACCAAGCCAGCAAAAACTGCTAGTGTTGGCACAAACTCCTGTAGACATCACTGAAGAGGATTATGACCAAAGAAACTGCCCAGAGACTATACTACTGAGTTCACCCAAAACCAAAGACGACACAACATATCCCACAGACACCCGAGGACCCACATACAGGAAAAAATCATTTATATATAATCTACTCCATAAAATTGGGAAAAACAACTAATCAATTAGATGCACAGATATCAACAGAGGGTCACAAGAAACATGAAAAAGCAAGGGAACATGACACCCGCTAAGGAACACAATAAGTCTCCAGTAACGGATGCCAGAGAAAAGGCAGCTACAAAATGCCTATAAAGAAGTTTCCAATAACGATCTTAAGAAAACTCAGTGAGATACAAGAGAACATAGACAAACAGGAAAATAATTCATGATCTGAATGAGAAATTTAACAAAGAGATAGATATCATAAAAAAGAACCAAACAAATATTGGAACTGGAAAATTCAACAAATAAAATAAAAAATACAAATCAAGAGCTTCAAGAACAGACTAGACCAAGCTGAAGAGAGAATTTCTGAACTTGAAGACAGATCTTTTGAAATAGCCCAGTCAGAGGGAAAAAAAAGAAATGACTAAAAAATAATGAAGAGAGTCTATGAGACTTATGGGACACTATTAAGAAAGCAAATATTCAAAGAATAAGTGTTCCAGAGGGGGAAGAGATGGAGAAAGGCACAGAAACCCTAGGTAATGAAATAATAGCTAAGAACTTCCCAAGGGTTGGGAAACATATGAACATTCACATTCAGGAAGCTCAAAGGTCCCCCTAATTAGACTCAACCCAAAAAGATCTTCTTCAAGGCACATCATAATCAAACTGTCAAATGTCTATGACAAAGGGAAAACTCTAAAAACTGCAAGAGTAAGGTGTCACTTATAAGGGAATCTCAATTAGACTATTAGAAGATTTCTCAACAGAAACCTTACAGGTCAGGAGAGAGTGGGATGATATACTCAAAATGCTGAAATTAAAAAGTCAGCCAAGAATCTAGCAAAGCTATCCTTCAGAAATGAGGGAGAAATAAGGACCTTCCCAGACAAGCTGAAGTTGAGGGAATTCATCACAAGTAGATCAGCTTTACAAGAAATACTTACAGGAGTGCTAGAACTAGAAATCAAAAGACAACAATTAGTATCATGAAAAAATAAAAAAAAATACAAAACCCATCAGATATGGCAAATTCTTAATTCAAACTCACAGGTAAATTCACACTCACAGGTAAATTCATAATTAAAATCAGAATACTCCAGTGATTTAATGGTGCTATATATATATCCTCCACTAATATGAAGGTTCAAAGTCAAAATGGTCAAAAAACAATAGCCATAATTAGTGACTAAGGAACATACAATAAATACAACTATAAATTAAGGCAACAGAAAATATAAACTGTGTGAGTTGGGGGTAAGTAGTCTAGAATATTTTCATGTGGCCAAAGTTAAGTTGCTATCAGCTTAAAATAGTGTATTGTAACTACAAGATTCTTTACATTAATCCCAAAGCAATCACACACAAAAAAATTACAGCAGATACACAAATGAGAAAGAGAAAGAAAACAATGCTTAGCACCAAAGAAAACTACCAATTCTCAGAGGTAAAAAACAGGAGATAAAGAAAGGAACTAAAGATTTTTAAAACAACCAGAAAACGGGCTGACCCCGTGGTGCACTCGGGAGAGTGCGGCACTGGGAG